TCCAGTTTTAGTATCAGAAGCTTCAAGGTTTGCATTTGCAGCAGGATTTAGTAACATGCAGGTAAACATAAACATATGAAGAGCAAATGAGTGACTACATCTGTAATGAAATGCCATCAACAGTCATCGCAATAGTTTTGCTTTAATTAGATGTGCTTTTCTAAACAGGGACCGTTAGCTAGATGGAACAGGAAGCCTTATCCTCGATATTAAAGTTGGGAGAGCTTCTGTATAGTCAGTATCCAGTCAATATGTGTATATGTGTCTTTCTGGCTGCTGTTACAACCAAATTTCCCCTTGTGGGACAATTAAAGGATTATTCTATTCTATTCTAATATCCAATACTCTCAGCTGCAGGGAGGTCACAGAGGTATCAATTATTATTATTTGTTATTTGTGCCAGCATTACTGTTTCTTATATGTTTTTCCTGCAATTTAAGAGTGGGAAGTCAAATTCATTTTACATCAGGGCCATCCGTGCAAATCCAGTAGCTGCACATTTAATCCCTGCGATATCTCAATATAAAGAAGTGTAATATCAACAGCACGTCTCAGTTTTACTATATGATAAGGAAACGCTGCTCTGCTTAATGGAAGAAATGTTGCAGCACGACTCTTTGGGCTTAAACTGAAAGAAATAAATGTGTTAAATTAAAGGTTCTCATTGCCCATACTGTCCTTTAATTATAAAGCAGAAAGTTTTTTTAATTAACAAAAAATTATATTTTATGTATTTATTCAAAATATTTTTATTGAGTATTTGTGGATATAGTTTACAGAGAAAAAAAGAAGAGGGAAAACACAGAGTGTTTACAATGAATACAAAACAGAACTTCTCATGTTGGAACATTGTTTTCCTCTCTTATTATTTGTATTTATTTAGTTTAAATGAAAACTGTTTATTTGTTTGTCTATTACTTTGGTAATTACTTTGACATTACTTTGGTGTAGTATGGACACCTATGGTTGAGGCCTGCATCAATAGGACAAGCTGTAAAATTTATGAAAATATAGTTAAAAGTCCAAAATGCATGTTCTCCTTCACATTTTCCAAAGATCTCCAGTGGGCCAGATTGGAGTTTTTGCCGGCCTGATTCTGGCCCCGGGCCTTATGTTTGACACATGTGATTTAAGGGTATACCCCAAAGCCCTCCCAGGGAAAATTCTGTAATTTACCTAACCCTGAAACATTATTAGGTGTGCCAAACAAAAGGCCTGGGGGTCAGTACTGGCCCTGCAAGCACTCCATTCTGGATGACAGTGGAAAAATTTGAAAGAAGGCAATAACTTTGGACTTTTAACTGTATTTTCATAAATTCTTCCTACTGATAAAGAGTTGGTTAGACATTGCTATTTATACTACAGGAAGGTAATTATGTAATAAATAACAAAATTGATGACAGAAAAGTTCCTGTTTTTCCACTATCTAATATAGAAACTTTTGTTTTTTTTATGGTAGCTAATACGTAGTTAAACTTCCTTAGGCTGACAGAAAGGGGAGTCTCTTTAGTCCAGCCCACTTAAGATCAAAGTGGGTTGTATGTGGCCTATGATATAAAATGACTTCGGTGATATAGGCCATGCAAGTGACCACCACCAGTGCCAGCATTTTGTACTTGTGCTGGTGTGTCTGCACTGCTCGTCACCATTACAAAACACCAGCTGGTGGTCGAGATGATCCATTCTCTCCCAGTCAATTCGACTGGTAGCAGAAGAAAGACGTAGGAGGAAAAAATGGTACTGAACGGGCAATCACAGTCAGTAGACACCAACATGAAACTACAGACTGGCAGATTAAATTTAATGCTACGCTAATAATAAATAATAGTACAATTATAATAAGATTAAATCCATGGATAGGAAGACCAGCAAATAGTTAACGATCACTTTGGGGGTCATCGATGATCAGAGTGATTATCGGAAACCCTAAAAAAATTGCCTTGAAAGGTTAAATAAGTCGACAATACCTGATCAGATCACATATGGGACAACTGAATAACAAAAAGCGGTAGGTACAGTTGCATTGGTCTCTTCCATGCTCACCCGCTTTTTTGAGACTTTTTTCTGTTGCTGTTATTCCATTGATGTGGCTACTTTCCCCACCGTGGCAGAAGATCACAATCTCATTATTAAATGCTCTTTGAGTCTATCGAAAGTTAATTGGCCCCAGATGGGAAGCTCCCTGGTAAAAAGAACGACCGTGACCTTTTTGAACAAATCAAAGATTCAAAAAGCTGAATCAGGCTACCTGAATCCTGCAATTGTGACAGCTTGTTCAGACATTATTGGGAACTAAGCAATGCACATTTCTCTGTCTCCACACACTCACTCCTTTAAAACTAGATGAGCGAGGCGCTTGTAGAAAGGCTGAATTATTCTAACTGCTTTTCATGCAGTAAAATTAGTCAGCCTCATGTGTCTCTTTAAGTCTCCGGGTTCTGATTTCTGAACGCCCCCACTTAAATGCTTTTTAATAACTGTTGAGTGATTCTTCATGTGTATCCTGGCAAAAACATAAAAAATAAATTAATAGTTTTTGGACTATAAAAGAAACATGTGTTATCCAGGGCATGAGATTAGCTAACAGTATCCAGAGCCTTTGTAAATTCCATTCTTCGAATACCCAAACAGATGGAGTTTAAAGGGGGGGATGTTATTCTTTTACTCATTTTCTGTCATATATGCATTGTCAGAGTGGTGGAGGCTCATCTTAAACATGACAATGAAATATGTACAAATAGATTCTGTGAGCTGAACATCTTTAAATGCTTTGTTTAGAGTTTTTTTTCTACTCTTAGCTCCGTATGATGTCAATGAAAAAGGACACTGCTAATATGGTCATCTCATGAACTCTGTGCTCCGAAGTGGCTGATGAAGAAAGTTGGCTTAAAAGGAGAGGAGCTAAAATGTCTTACTTCAGACAGAAGATGAATGTCTAAAATGTCTAAAAAAAACCTCCAGTCCAAGAGTAGAAATTAGGAGCTGGAAATGAGCACAAGAGCCCCCCTTGTTTTTTTTTTTTTTTAATTTGACGTAACTTATAAGAAGCTTCTTGCAAAGTATTTAGACTGTGTCAGCTCATAGAGGCACTGTTTATGTTCTAGTTCAGCAGCTGAAACGATCCAACATGCATAGGCTGGCACTCAGTGTCGTCACTGTAATTTAGAGCAGTTTCCTTTCACTCACACCTCTGTCTTCATATTTAACATTTCCCCTGAGGTGTGGTAATGACAGAGCTTCCCAGCTCCTCAGGTATGATGATTGTTTTTCCTTGGTAAAATCTGACTATATTTAGTGTTTGTTTTACAGGCCCAGTGTGTGCCGGCGTGGTGGGGCTGAAAATGCCCAGATACTGTTTGTTTGGAGATACTGTCAACACGGCATCCCGGATGGAGTCGAATGGAGAGGGTGAGTGTCACTGGGTTTTTCCTCTCTGCTGTCTGTTGGATGTAAAGCTGGCGTCACTACGTAAATCTGGGTTTTCAACAGAAGGAGTAACACGCTTCGTACAAATCTTTGCAGTGTTGAAGTTAAAAAGGACTCGTAGCTTATTCTTATTCTTGTATTGCAGCTGCTCTGTATTTAATTAACTTTTCACTTCTTTTAAACACTTTGTGCACTGCTGGTGATAAGGTCCATAAAGAAAAACTCAAACAGAAACAAAGCCGATAACACAAAGTCCAACGGTAAGCAACAAAAGGAGAAAACAAAAACTGGGAAACATGAAAGCATGGAAGACAGAAACTAGAAACAGGAGGCTAACAGGGAGAAAAGGCGACTCTCTGACAAAAAGAAAACCGGAGACAGGACTAAAGGCTTCTTTCCCATTTCTCTAATCTGTGCCTCCTTATCTCCTCCGTCCTTCTCCCTGTGACTGTGTAAGTTAATCTCAGTACTCCAGGATGAAGGATGTCTTAAATGGATCACGAGGACAGAGAAGAGAGGAGGAAGACACAGATGCATTTCCTTTTAACTTTAATGTAGAGGTGTGGCAGACAGCTGGAATAAATTAACCATAATGACAACTCATCGTAGATGAGCAAACTTTCTTTACCTGTTTGTTGGTCTGTGAATAAAGCATCAAGCCATATTATTAAAAGTACCCTTGAATTTAAAAAAGATGCCATAAACACATAAAACACAAGATTAGCCACAGGTAAAAACAATGAAGGTGGGGCGGACATTCACAGAGGAGGGAAACAGCAACAGGAAATAAAAGAAAGCTTTTCTTCCAATTAAAATAGGAAATAACAAAAAGACAAAAGTTTTGTCTGTTACTATTACCAAACATGGCCACAGAGACAGGAGAAAGACAAAAGATGAGCAAAAAGAAGACTAGAAGTAACTGAAAACCAAGACGACCAGTGCAAACATGCTACATTATGATAGCAGGGAAAAAATAAGCTACTGTTAGATAAAAGAAAAAGAACAGACTAAGAAACACAAAATAAATGCACAAACAAACTGGCCAACATCTAGCTTGATGTGCTTCTTGGCTTTTGGAAATCACACCAGTCTTAACAAGGCAGATAAAGTTGTGTCGGGCGAATCCGCACTGTAGCATGAGGCAAATTTAAAATTGAAATATTTACACAAACACAGGTTTGCTTCTGTTGACATCAGACAGGGGAAAATAGCATAAATTCTTTAAATGAACTGAGCTGCATGAAAACTTTGCTTTGTGTTTGGTCTGAATGCGACATTAGTCTCTTAAGGATGAATTATTGTGATCCAGTTGTTTTTGTCTTTGAATCTTACTGTTGGCTTTCCCTTTAATTTGCCACCCATCTGTAGATATAGAAAATCCCAAACTTGGTACTGTATTTGGTTTAGTTGAATATTTGAAAAGCTTTTTTAATGGGAAACTGAAATGAGAACTTTTTTAACCTCCTAGGACCTGGCGTCCACATATGTGGACATCACATTTTGGGACTTCTAGACCAAAATACTTAAGTTTTCTCTACAAGGGCCTGATATCCATTTACGAGGACGTTATACTGCCACTGTTCTATCAAAATGTAAAACGAATGTCCTCATATGTGGATCTCATTTTTCTCACAAACAAAAATTAGGTTAAAAAAAAAAATCTGGTAATTCTTTGTTTTTACATTCTTTAGGTCCCCATCAACCCAAATAGCAAAGAAAAATAAAAAATGCATGCCATGAAAGAGTTCGGGTCTTATGAGGTTAAGCATACAACTTCAGAATAGGCTGATTTTTTAAAAGTAAAATAGCTTTAATGTTTTCCAAGTTACAGACCTTCCTTGTAGTGGGTTGAAATTTGGCGTCTTTATATTCACTTTATTTTTTTCCACATCTAGCTTATGTTTTTTAATGCTTAAACTGATATAACCGTATATTTCTAAACAAATCTCAATTTGTCAAATTGCAAAATCCACAGGGATCCCACAAAGATCTATCCTGGGCCCGTTGATGTTTAAATTATAAGTAATGAAAAAGTAGTCAGCGCTTCCCACCTCACCCCATTAGAATAAGCTAAATTTTATTTTCTGAGATACAGGACCCACCCCAAACTTGAAAACATGCCTTTTGGGTAAACTGTAAAGGGTCATATCACTATGTGAGACACAGTTATAATCAAACATTTACTTATAACCATCATGCACATGGATTTCATAATGATTTTGGGCTTGTAATGATTTCTTTGAACTGTTCTTTTTCCAGGGTAGAATGATTGTACAACATCTTTAATTACTTTAGAGAAAATCCAAAATTAAATTGTGCACTGATTTTTTTTTATTAATTAAAGATGTATGCTTTAGCTGTAGCTGTAGGCTGGCAAATCAGGAAACAACACTGAGGTTGACATTTTGGACGTGTCCCATTGAACAAACAAGAACCAGACTTCCAGAATTAACAGCAGTAAATAATAGACCCTTTATCACCGCACGCAGGACCTGTTCATCTCTGTCTCTGACTCATTTCTTAATGAGTTTTGATGGAAGCACTCCTGAGGAAAAATCTGATTTGTGAGCTAATTATAAGCCGCGGTGACCTGCTGCATCTGATGCTGTTCGTGCTGACATTTCTTTTCTTAACTGGCAGTGACAGCAGTACCGTGTTATGAATCTATAACTGGATATTTTGCGAGTGAATCTTCAGATGTATCGATTAACTGCTGAGGTCCTTCCTGTTTTGTGCCTCCTCTGCTAAATAATTGATGGCACTTACAGCTAAGGGCCCTTAGCCAGCGATTAACAGTGCAGCTTCATGGGCAAGAATTGCGTCTCACGTCCCTGCACTGTGTGCATTATTAGAACAAAACAATACAGATTTTCATCACCGTTAGCATTTTGATGCATTGGCTCATCTCCACAGTTTTCCTGTGAGCTGTTATCTTGAGGTTGGAGATGAAAGCAGATATGTGAGCTGTTATTTGTCATTCACGCTGTGTTTGATGTCTCTTCTAGCCTTAAAGATCCACGTGTCCTCGGCCACCAAAGAAGTGCTCGATGAGTTTGGTTACTTTGATCTCCAATTACGAGGAGACGTAGAAATGAAGGTAGGAACCGTCATCTGAATGAAACCAAATGAAACCTTTGCCTTAAAAGTGAGTTCATATGTATTGTGAATGTTAATAAAAATAAATAAAGAGCAATGCATGATACATCACTGGTTTATCAGTGACGTATCATGCATTGCTCTTTATTTACAACAAATGATTTTCATTATACATCAGCCTGTGGATTATTGGTTTAATTAACTGATTAATATGTCAGCCTGTAAACTCAAGGCTGTAACTATTAATGAGGATGCTGGGATTGATTTTAACATCCCAAGGAGGAGAGATCAATATCTTTAAATGAGACAAGTTCTTAGGTAAATAAATGAAACACAGCACCACACCAGATGCCACTCCTATATGCTAAGGAAACTGAGGCTGGCATTCACAGAAAATGTAGATTCGAAAATATTGCCTGGTCTGATGAGTCTCGATTTTGCTGCCACATTTAGATGGTTGGGTCAGAATTTGGCAGACATGACATAAAAGCATGGATCCATCCTGTCTTTTATCAACAGTTCCGGCTGCTGATGGTAGTGTAATGGTGTTTGGGATACTTTCTTGGCACACTTGGGCCCCTTAGTACCAACTGAGCCTTTTTTAAACACCGCAGCCTGCCTGAGTAATGTTGCTGACCATGTCCTTATATTTATGAACAGAGCGTACCCATCTTATGATGGCTGCTTCTGTCAGGGTAACGTGCCATGCCAAAGCTCAAATCATCATTGTGATGTTCAAACTGTTTTTTTGAACATCACAATGAGCTGACTGTACTCAAATGGCCTCCACAGTCAACAGATCTCTTCTGCCTTTGGGATAAGTTAGAACAGGTTTTGCATCCTGGATGCACAACTGGCAAAAACTGCAACAACTGCTTGATGGTTGCAGCAGTTGATGGAGAATGGATCAAAATCTCTGAGGAATGTTTCCAGGTCGTTGTTGAATCTATGACATGAAGAATTAAAGCAGCTCTGAGGGCAAAAGTTGTTCCAACCCATTACTAGCTACATGTACCTAATAAAATGTTGTCAGGAATCGCTGTGCGGCAGGCAGGAGTTGGACCCAAAATGCAGCCACTCAGGCACGAGGTTTAAACACAACGAACTCAGCTTTATTGCTGGCAGGGGAAAGTCTTACGAAACTAAACTGGAAAATGACAAACTAAACTCACAGGGAGATCCACACAGCATGAGGGACGACGCGACACTGACTCAGACACTGACACAGGGTTTAAATACACTGGGAAGTAACGAGGGGAATGAGACACAGAAGGAGGGCACAGCTGGGAGAAATCAGAACTGACGAGACAAGCAAAGCTTGACACATTCACATAAGACCCAGACCTTCAAAGTAAAACAGGAAGTATAACACAAACACGCGAACTTGACACGGTGGAGACAGCAACTAAGAAACACAGACATAAACCATAAAGCTGAGGACTCTAAGAACCGAAATACACAGACGGAAATACTAAGCTTGGAACACAAGAAACTAGACTCGAGGGAGTAACAAAAGACCAACCATGAGAACATAATTCACAATACAGAGTGACAGAAAACAAGAAACTCAAACATGCAAAGACACAGACGTACACAGAACAGAGGGGACACAGAGAAATATGAAGGGCAAGGGATCAAAACTAGAAACCATAGAATAAATTACAAGAGTACAAGATACAAGAATCACAAAGAACTAAAAACGCTGGGTCAGGAGACCCAGGATCCTGACAAATGTAGATGAACTGGTTACCTCGTATTAAGTCTAACTTGAACACTTGAAGGTAAAAGCAGCAATCAAAAGTGGTTTAATAATTTTGAGAGGTAAATCATTTAGGAGTAAATATCCTTTCACATTTATCTATAGTCAGAATATATTATATAAAGTGTCATATGTGAGCAAAGGGAGACTTAAAAGCTTTATAGTGTCACCTTTAAGCAAAGGTCAGCAGAGGATACCAACGCCTCCACTCTTCATCTCCATTGATGAACTTATTGATTTCTGTGTTTTTCCAGGGCAAAGGCAAAATGAGAACGTACTGGCTTCTTGGGGAGAAGACTGATGTGTATGTTATCTGAGAGGCCTGCTGATAATGTGAGAGCAGCAGTGGTGGAGACGCCAGCAGAAGCTCCAGTGGCCGAGCCACTTCTTTTATTTGTTCTAGAATAAGTCTTTAATGGTGATTTCCCTGCAGAGGAAAGGTGAACGACACCCTACAACAACAACAAAGAGGGAATTCCAGGTATATTTATTACCTGCATACTGAAACTGCAAAAAAAGAGAGATTAAAACTGTAAAGTTGTTTTTGTATGAAGAATTTCTGTCCTGAGAGTGGGTACTTTTCACTGATAAATTCTTATTTTTTGTGCTTTCTATATTAAAATTTGTATAATGTGTTTGAAAGTCAATGATGTATTCCTATTTCCATTGAAGTGTGCAGGCACGGTGCTGCAATCGATGTCACTGCAGGAGGTTCAGCCGTGTTACACAGTGCAAGATAATATGTATATATGTATATCCAAGATACTGTAAAATATTTTGTTCAATAAACTCAGTAAAACACACTTCTTTTTAATGTATGGACCAGGGACTATTTTTACATTATTGGATTTCTTTTGTGGTGTTATTGATATTTGCTTTCACAAAGGGTGTAATGTGAGAAAAGAGCCCTTTATTTCCAGCATTACAAATCTTCCTGACAAACACCCACTTTCAACTCAGAAGCAATTCATAAATGACCTTCTACGGTCCCCTCAAATATCGAGTGTCCCTCTAATCCATTGCATCTTTAAAAAAAAATTACGTGCAGCAACCAATTTACTAGAGAGGCACTCTAACCTTTGCTGTTAACCTTGGAAGATTAATTGGTTAACGAGGTAGGTTGAACCAAAGCAGGTTATTCTGTTATCTGCTTTTATTTTCATATTTATTTCTCTTAACTTCTACTTCCTGTCTACCCAAGACCAACCAAACTAGTGAGTTTTCTTTTTTCGTTTCCAAATTTTTCATTTGGAAACAAAATAGAAATCGGTCACATGACTTTATTGATTTGGTTTAGTAACAAACAAACAGCTGACTTCCTGTTTCAGTTTCAGAGGAACTAACGGAGTAATTGACCGTGCGCAGATGTCTCAGGCCAGCATTTCAGTTTTGTTTCTGAGACCAAGAACATTTTTTCATATTTCATTTATTCATATATGTTTATTTGTACTAGGAAACCAACATTATTCAGTGATACCCAGACCCTTTTGCAAAGAAAATGTTTATACATCCACCCTGCCGAGGTGAGCAGTACTTCATGTTTTTCCTTGAGGGGTCAGCACAGCAGATCGTCTGCCTCCACCTCACCCTGTCTCTACTGTTGCATTCTACTCAGTCACACCAACCGTCCGCAGGTCCTTCACTACATCCACGAATCTTCTCTGTGGTTCTCTTTTCCTCCTCTATTCTACGTCCCACCTTGACCTATGGTCATGAGCTCTCGTTTAGAGGTAGGGTGAGGAGTCCAGTCCTTTTGTAACGGACTCAGAAGAGCCACTACTCCTCCACATTCAAATAAACCAGCTGAGGTGGTTCAAGCATCTGATTAGGATTCTTCCTGGGTGAGATGTTCTGGGCATGTGCCACCAGGAGGAGGTGACCCTGGGATACCCCCAGGACAGGTGGGGTTACATCTCTTGGCTAGCCTGGGAATGCTTTGTTGTTCCCCTAGATGGCCTGGAAGAGATGGTGATGACAGAAGACACATCTGATATTAATTTTGTGAACTGTGGTCCCAATTAGTGCATGCTTTAGGACGGGACTACCTTATGATTGACAGGTTGTTACCCTATGAATGAGCAGTATTGCTGAGTTTTACTAAGTAATGGGTGTAATGGGTGCATCCATTTTTTACATCCAGTCTATCACTTTACATTTCCTTACATACTGAGTGTGCTTCAGTAAAGCAGAGCATTGTGTATCTGCAGCCTGTGGACAGACAGCGAGGAGGAAACACGAGTCGGCAGCAGACAGCTGTGTTTTGGTTGTAATGACATCACCGCTCATTAGAGGCTCATCAGTTTTTGAGCAGGTGCACGGGTGTGTGTGCGCGCGCGAGCGCTCGTGCAATTGTCATCTCTGCAGGATAGCATATTCCCCTCATGCACGGCTGTAATTACCGCCCACTTTCTTGCAGTGACATGCCACATCCTGACACCAGTTAGAGCCACATAGAGGGAATTGAGGGTCTCCAATGAACCCCACGCCGAGCTTCCCTCAGCTGACCTGGCTGTCATCCAATCATCTGTTACGTTCTGCTTTTGCCACATATAGATCAGACCTTTTGTTACACGAACTGCTCCGAGTTTACACAGAATAACTTTGTGTCTCTTTAAGCTCTGGAAAACAGCTTTGGTGAATTCCAGATGCAAGATATATGCATATTAAAAAACGAGAAAAAACTAAAAACTAAAAAACTATAAATAGGAGCAATATCAGCGTTTTAGCTTCGTAGGGACTCTTGCTATTTCTGGCCGCAATCTCTGTAAGAATGACAACGTGTTTTTTTGTGTTGAACACAGAATTTCTTTGATCTCAGTAGTTTATAGCTTTTGAGGATTTTGCAGATAGTTTCAGAGAAACAGTAAAAGCCAAAAAGCCAAAATTCTGCAGATTAAAATAAAGAGCAAAAAAACTGCAGTTCCTCTGATGGCCACTTGGGACTTTATCCAAAAGTGAGTCAAATCCCCACCCATACAATAAAGCTCCTTTCGCTGCTCTGTTATTGCCAATCAGAAAATCATTTTCCATGTAACCTTTATGGGTTCAAGTGTTTGTGCAACCACAACTATTGCCATCTGATGGCCTTTCACGTTGGTCTCAGTTTCTGACCTTGAAGCTACATCCATGTTTTATACTGTCTATGACCCAAACTGAAGCCCAGACTTATTGGCTGATCCACCCCTCAGAGATATCACAGCACCAACAACACAAACACAGCTGAGGCATCCAGTTCAGTGACTAGAAAATTCTGGAGATGAAGCCAAGTGGACGCCAGAGTGGACGCCAGCATAAACTATTTATATAATTTTCTGTTTGTTCCAGGCTGTAAACATGTTGGTCATTTATAAAGTTACTAAAAGTTTTCACGACTAGATTTCAGTAGTTTGCCAGCTGCAGTCAACCGAGTTCTGTTTTCTTATTCGTCACAATTCAAGTGTATAATCCTAGCTATGGCGTCTGCTATAAGACAAACAACCTTCCTTTCATATCAAAAATCCTTGAAAGAGTAGTTGTCAAACAGCTAACAGATCATCTGCAGAGGAATGGTTTATTTG